CGGGCATGCCACTCGGGCGGAATCACGGACCTCTAGGGGTAGAGGCCGGGGCCAAGGCCGAGGCAGGGGTCGTGGGAGTTCTACCACGCCGACGACAAGTAGCACACGCGTCGGTTCCGTGTACCCGTCATGGGCCACCGAACCGGACGACTTCACCTATGCTCCAAGCACGGAGCAAGAGGAGACCCCGTACAACGGGGAGGACTTTGAGGAAGAAGATGAGGATGATGATCCTCATTATGACCGTATGAGTGAGGTACTAGAGTGGTACCTCGAGAATAAAGCAAAGAGAGAGTAGCGGCGCCAAGCTAGACAGGCTAGGCAAACCATGGGGCAAGGAAGCCGAGGTGCTTCTAGTGCTCCATCGGGGGCATTTGGAGGAGACACGATGGTGCGTATCTCCAAGTACCTCAAGGAGGCCAGGGCCTTGGGGTGCAAATCATTTGATGGCAAGGGCGACATATCTGAGGCCGCCGACTGGATTAAGAAGCTGAATGATGCTTCTAGGGATATGCAAATTGGACTCGACGTGAAGTTGAGGGTTGCCACCAGGCTACTAGAAGGGGTAGCTGCTGTATGGTGGGAAGGCGTGAAAGGAAAGTTCCACGGTGAGGCCACTTGGGAGGAATTCGAAGTGGAGTTCTATAATCAGTACTACTCAACTTTTGAAGTCAATCTCAAAAGAAGAGTGTACCACTTGAGATTTAATTTAAATGATTTAATAGTACTACTCATACCAACAAGATGCATCTCCTTTTAAGGGAGCTCATCACCAAGAACTCCAAAGTTAAGCGTGCTTGCACGGGAGTAGTCTTGGGATGGGTGACCCCCTGAGAAGTTTCTCAGGGCGCGCACGAGTGAGGACAAAGTGCGCGGAAAAGGCTACTGGCGGTTTGTGAGGACAGTACTAGAGGTCAGAAGTAACTACCTCGGGGCCTACGGGACGGGGTGTTACAGGTGGTATCAGAGCAACCCTGCGACAGTGTGCTGATCCGTTGGATATCGGGCGGGCACTTAGCGGGGGGAAAGATTCTGGGATTTGATTGAGATTGGTTTATGGGCGCAACGAGGACGTTGCGTTCCTAAGTGGGGGTGATTGTAACACTTGAGATTTAATTTAAATGATTTAATAGTACTACTCATACCAACAAGATGCATCTCCTTTTAAGGGAGCTCATCACCAAGAACTCCAAAGTTAAGCGTGCTTGCACGGGAGTAGTCTTGGGATGGGTGACCCCCTCGGAAGTTTCTCAGGGCGCGCACGAGTGAGGACAAAGTGCGCGGAAAAGGCTAGTGGCGGTTTGTGAGGACAGTACTAGAGGTCAGAAGTAACTACCTCGGGGCCTACGGGACGGGGTGTTACAAAGAGAGTACACGAACTTAAAACAGGAGGATGGTTGCTCGGTGAGGCAATTGGAACAAAGGTTCCGTGACTTGGCACGATTCATCCCAGAATACTCTTTGGATGAAAATCGTATGGCCAATCACTTTTGGGATGCTCTACAGTTGGACATCCGTGACCGGGCTACTTACCATCACAGCATGACATTTAGCCAAATCGTTGACCAGGGGCTCCTTGGGGAAGCCCAATGGAATGAGAGGAAGTTGAGGGACGCCGAGGAGGCGAAGAAGAGAAGATGGGGAAACTCTGGACCCCAAGACCACTCCCGGAAGCATCACGCTGGGAGTGGCAATTCATTCAGGGCGCCGGCACCACTGGCGAAAAGGAATAAAGGCTCAGGAGGGCAAGGGGCCAAACCAGGGAGTACGTGGTCACCAAGGTGCGCGAATTGCGGCAAGAACCATGCGGGGAAGTGCAATGAACCACCCCGGTGTTACAAATGTGGTAGCATGAGTCACCTGAAATCCTCTTGCCCAATGTTGAATGGAGGCGGTCCATCAAGGGCCATTGAAGGACCTACAGCTAGTAGGGGACGTGCGGGACCGTCTCAGGCCGGTACAGGAAGGGGCGGACCCACGGCTAGCAATGCCGCGTCCGTTAACCAAGGCAGAACCCAGGCACGAGTGTATGCAATGATCGAGGAGGATGCGCGAGCAAACCCGGACTCCGTTGCAGGTAATACACTAAACCTTGTATGTTTCCAGGCTGGTATTAAAGTTATAATCCCTAGGGGTCAGTTACGAGCGGACTTAGAGTCGAATCGGGAAAACTAAACGCAAATAAGCTAATACCCAACCGGGTATGGTAGCTCACCCGACCGGGTATGCTGGGATTTTAGCCTGGTAAACTCACTAGAACAGATACCCGACCGGTTATAGTAGCTCACCCGACCGGGTATGCTGGGATTTTGGCCTGGTAAACTCACTGGATTGGATACCCGACCGGGTCTAGTAGGTTACCCGACCGGGTATGCTAAGTCTTCCTACCCGCCGGTACTACCAGGTCGGGTAAAGGAGAAGAATCGTGTGGATTGTTGCGCTTACCGCTACACTAAAAGCAATCGCTGATAGTGAAGCACGCTCCTCCCCCTTTATAGCACAAGCGAAGCGCCACGCGGTCCGATTGCACCGACAGGCTGGCTGTTGCTGGCACCGCATACCCGCGGCCCAACAATCTCCCCCCCAGCACCTGCCAGCCTACAACTGCGCAGCATGCTGTTGCCGGGGGGTCGAACCCGTGACCTTGGCTCTGATACCACTTGTGGATCGTTGCGCTTACCGCTACACTAAAAGCAATCGCTGATAGTGAAGCACGCTCCTCCCCCTTTATAGCACAAGCGAAGCGCCACGCGGTCCGATTGCACCGGCAGGCTGGCTGTTGCTGGCACCGCATACCCGCGGCCCAACAAATCGCTTCTGGAACAGAGACCCGATCGGGTAGAATGAGTCACCCGACCGGGTATGCCAAATTCTTGTACCCATCAGCCTTACCAGACCGGGTAGAGCAAGATAATTGCTTCTGGATTGGATACCCGACCGGGTATAAAGATGTACCCGACCGGGTATAGGGTATCCCTCGGCTGGTTTTTTTTTCTTCGCTCGGTCCTTTTCAGTCGGGATGTTGAATATGGTGTCTTACATGACTTATATATGTAGGAACACTAAAGATCAACGATAGAGATGCGAGAATTCTCATCGATACCGGGGCACAACGTTCATTCGTGAGCGAAGCGTTTGCCAAGGGATTGAACATGCCTTTGGTAGCAATGATGCAACCGTTGCTGGTCTCTACACCATTGGGAGATGATGTAGAGCGGAAACACTAATATCCCTCGTGTAATGTAGGGATAGGGGAGCATTGTCTAACGGGTGACTTTGTGCCGTTAGATATGCTCGAGTTTGACGCTATACTGGGCATGGATTGGCTCGAAAAGCACCATGCGAGAGTAGATTGCTACACCAAGGTGTTAGAACTAAAAGATGGAGAAGGAAATACTCTATGATTCGAGGGAGATAGAGGGAAATTCAATCCTTGTATCATATCGGCCATAAGAGCAAGGCGTATGATGAGGAGAGGGTGTCAAGCGTACTTGGCCTATGTCATAGGCAAGGAAGGCAAGGGAAAGAGTCTCACTGAGGTGAGAGTGGTGAGTGAGTACCCAGAAGTTTTCCCTGCAGAACTCCCGGGACTCCCACCAGATCGAGAAATTGAGTTCACTATTGAAGTAGAACCCGATACGAAACCCATCTCGATTCCTCCATATCGGATGGCACCGGCTGAACTTCAAGAGTTGAAGGTGCAATTGGAAGAATTACTGGACAGCGGTGTAACACCCCAAAATTTCTCACCCCAAAAAAAATACTTTATTCAAAATAAATATCAACTTTATTTGAAAACATCAGAGTTTTGCAGCGGAAATCAAAAAGGAAATAGGGGTGCTACCGCCACACTCGATTCTCTCTTAATCGAGTGCACATGCTAAAACAACTTAAACTTCAAAATCAAAAGTTCACTGATTAAAGTTATTGAAAGAGAAATTTACAATGATTTACTAATAATGTTTTCTAGCGAAAGCTCTCTCTCGAAATCAACTTCAACATCGATCAACTAAACACATGTACAAAAATCATGTACAGAAAGAAAAAATAAAAGAAACACACATCAGCAATAATGCTAAGTAAGTCTCACCTAACCTTTTAAAATAATAATAATAGTATATATATAAATTCGTACAACCATTAGTATAAAATATTTTCAAAACACTTTATAAATCATAAGTAAACGATATCTGTACAAAATCCCAATCACATAACTTGTGAACCATAATAATTCCAAAATACATGAAACACCAAAATTTCTCCTCTATTGAATTTCTCCAAAAATCACTTTGTAACTAACTTCCTAGTAATTTAGAAGGGCGGTGCTCAACACTTTGGTTGAGCCCGGTGGTCCGTTGTTAGGTACGGCCACCCCGGGACTATCGCCGGTACCACAACTGCTCCTTGGAAACGGAAACAACTACTTTAAGTGTGCACACCCCCTAAAGGTATTCCAAGCCCTCCGGGTTAGTAAGTCGATCCGGGTAGCCGGGATGTTTTCTACCAACTACCCCACCTCAAAACCTGAATGATTAGGAGCTACTACTACCATTACTACTCAAAAGTCGGGATGTTTTCTACCGACCGTCAATTCACCTCAAACCAAAACCACAAAAAATGAGTAATAGTAGACCTAACCATCCTCCACATTTTAAGGGACGTGGAAAACCAACACCACAGATTTCTCCCGTGATGCTCACCTTTTATAAAAATATTTATTTTTCTCTAAATCAATCGAAGTTTATACTTCAAAAATTCCCTTTTTATCAAACTCCCACAAAGATAACAAATTACGTACTATTACAAAATATCCCAAAATCGTATACAATAATTTATCTCAACAAAACAGTACATCAACTAATATCTCAAATACAACCCTTTCATATCATAATATTCACTCAAATTCAGCACACATAAATTCAATTCTCAAATATGCACACAAAAATATGTAAAAGAAATCACGAAGAAAAAGAACTAATATCGGTTGACGTGAAACTTATCTTAAATCCAAATGCTCCTACTTCTCTTCTTCAATTCCAATCTCTAAATGAGCACCTTTTTAATTTAGATGATATAATTAGTCACTTATTCTATTTATAAATTATTTTATTCAATTTTTCCCCTCTTATTTCCTTATTTATTAACTTAATTTATTAGTTATTTGAATTTATTTGATTAATCACTTTTTATTAATCAAATTACCTTATTAATTCAGCCATTAATTACAATATTTGAATTCTAATATTAATTAAAGTATCCGAATATAATTAACCACAACATCCAATTTTTATTCAATAATCACCATTAATTTACTCTACTCATAAATTATTATCTAATTACTTTATTTATATTAACCCATTAATTTATGAATTCAAATATTTTAAATATTTATATGAAGTCCGAATATCTAATAATAAATCATAAAAATTATTAATTGAATTAGTCCACTAATTACATAACTAAGTTATTTATTAAGTCTACATATAGTCAATTATTTATGTTAGCTAATCCAACCTTATTTTATTTTCCTTATTTTATTCCAACATCATTTTTAGTCCAGAATATTATTTTTCAATCTCAGTGATTTATTTATTTCACCAAGAATATTTATATTCCCTTATTTAATTACTTAACTAGTTTTATATGGCCCAATTAAATTAAATAGACTAAGAATCGACTTTATAAATTAAAAACCGTCTATAACTATATTTTGGGTCTATATTTGACCTAGGTTGTCCAGATATCTATTTTATAATTATTTCCATAATTATTCACTTAATTTCATATATCTATTAACCGGTTCAATTACAATTAAATATACTAAATCTTAATATTTATTAGTTATAAATGGTCCATAAGGTCCTAGTTAGTCATATATTTATCCTAGTTTACCCCAATATTTATTTCATAATTATTTTCGTCACTTAGTTGATTATTTACTAAATGTGTATAAATTGGCCCAAATACAATTAAATCCATTAAAAATAGCTAAAAATATTATTTTTCAATTCTGGTTGGTCCGAATATGTATATTTATACTAGGTATTTAATTTATACTTTTCCAGATTTTATTTATTTCATTTACTATTTTATTTTTAATTTTTATTAAAATTGGGCCGAACTGGCCCATTACACCGACCCGGCCCAAGAGTTCTGACCCAGACAACTGGGTCATCTTCTCCAGGTCGATTCCGGCGACTTCGCCGGAAACTAGAAAACTCCGGCGAGCTATAACTTGACTTACAGCTAACGGATTTCGACGATTCAAGTTGCAAAATGATCCTTGCGGCGAGACGAAGCTCCTCCACCCCTATCTACGACAAAATATCTGCTTTTTATAAAGACCCGCTTCCACAACTTGCAACTCCGGCGAATGATATCTCTCTCGTTTCATGACCGTTTTCTACGATTCTTCTACCGTTGGATTCCTCTCACGAAGGAGAAGGTTTTTATGTGAGTTTTGGTTTCGCTTATGGGTTATAACGAAGGGTCGAAAAATAGTGTGTGTGTATATATATATATATATATATACACACACACACATGTGTGTATATATATAGGTCGCAGGTTTTGGGGATGAAGAAAACGCAGATTCGGCCTGCTATTTATAAGGGAAATATGAGGGGTTTAGGATGAGAGTTTGTGTTTAATTTGAACAGCTTCTTCCGCAGCTCCGTTCTTATCTCGTACGTGGTTGTGTTGGAGTTGGAGTTTATCTTCTTTTGGGGCTCTGTATGTGTTCGTGATTACGGCGAAACTCCTTCCGTGAGTTCAGCTTCGTTCGTTGTTATACTAGTACTACGTATTGCTTGGCTTCGTTTGTAGTCCCAGTATTATTATACTATTGTATGAGGAGTATTTCATATTGTTATTACTAGCTAGTACACACATACGTATATTTACTTAATAGGGATCAAGTATTTTACTTCTTATAGTTATTACTAGCTAGTACGTACATACGTATATTTACATAGTACGTGTATTATATACAGTGGAGGAGCTAGGGGGGGGGGGCAAGGGGGGGCAAGCGCCCCCGCTCCGACTAATTTTTTTTACTAGTATTACTTATAATATGTTTCTTGCCCCGGCTTCTTTTTTAATTTTAAAAAAAATAAGTACAACTTAAGGTTATTTTAAGATGAAGTGTTAAAATAAATAAAAAAGTATTTTCAGAAAAAGTAAAAAAAATGAAATATAGAATAAAAGGGGATTAATGTATGTAATACATTTGGCATCCCAATATGTCAATAATCCGGAGTAGCTCAGTGGAGACAGGTAACACGCTCCCTTCGTATCACCTGTGTTCGAATCCCCCCCAGGACGGATTAAGTTAAACTTGTTTTGCTTTTCTTCCGCCCCAATTCTTCCAATTTTATTTTCTTCAGCCTACAACTCGTCCCACACCGGATGAAATAGAGGATTCACTCCTCATTTGAGCCTATATAATCGCTCCTTCATAGTTGATAAAGATTAAGTTGCTAGTAAAGCTTGAGTGCAAGTATTAGCTACAATATAAACAAATATTGAATACCCATTCGGTTTTTGTGAAAAAACCGAATAACCGGACCGAAAATTCGGTGTCCGAAAAATTGGGTCCCAACTTAGATCGGTTCGGTTTCGGGTTATAGAATATACGAAACCGAAAGATCGGTTCGGTTCGGATATTTCCTATTTCGGTTCGGTTCCCGAACCGAATCCAGCCCTAGTTCTCACTTCTCCCCATTTGTTCTCAGATTCTGCAATTTTCAAGTAAGTTTCTCATCTGCCAATTTATGCCCATATTAATTATTTGCTCTCATCCCTAACGAAAAGTCAGAAATTATTTGTGTGAATCCTCAAATCTCAGTTCTAGATGCAATTTAATGCTATTTGTATAAGGAACATTTTTAATTCATACTTATTTTTGTTATATTTAGGAGTATGAGTTTGGATAAATTTGTAATTAAGACTAAGAGGTCTTTGATTGGAGGTGTTAGTTCTTCAATTGTTCCTAATCAGTCTATCTCTAGTGTTGAAAATGCCACTGCGTCAAATGAAAATATTGCTAGAGATGAGATGAATGAGAGGGACAAGAGAGCCCGAACAGAAATTACACATGAATGGGATATTATTAGTGATCCATTTTCACGAAAACCAATTAATGAATATGCGCCGGGGATTATGGATGATGTGATGAGAGCATATGTTGTTAAAGGTGCTTGTCAACCAGCATCTCATAAGTTTCCACGAACTGAATTTGGTAAGACATTAAGGAGCTTTCGAGGAGAGTGGTTTAAAACTTGGGAATGGTTGGAATATAGTATTTCTAAAGATGCCGCTTTCTGTTTTTGGTGTTACCTTTTTCATGGGCATGAAGGAAAGAGATTTGGTGATGATGTGTTTGTGAGGACCGGATTCCGTAATTGGAAGAAAGCTCCTGAAAGGAACAACTCCAAGTTTGGATATATGAGATGAGAGGAAATGAAGCATTTTCCACTTTACAAAGTATTGGTGAAGTGTCTAAGAAGATGGTTGAGCTTACAATTCACAAATCTTTTCACTTGGTCTATCGTCTTATTGAGTTGGCTCTAGTGTTACCAGTTGCAAGAGCCACAGTTGAAAGAGCTTTCTCATCGATGAATATTATCAAGACAGATCTTCGCAATAAGATGAGAGATGACTATCTTACGGATTGCTTAGTATGCTACATCGAAAGAGACATTTTTCAAGCAATTGATAATGAAGCTATTATGCAGCATTTTCAAAATATGAAAACTCGTAGGATTGATTTGCCTAGGTTGCAGAAGTAAATCAAGTAGTATGTAATGAACTATAATTTTTTGTTAAATTATTACGCTATTGTTGTTCTTATTATATTTTGGACATGAACTTTAAAATTTTTAGTCTTTGGTTTGCCCCTCCTTGGACAAACCTCTGGCTCCGCCACTGATTATATATATATATATATATATATATATATATATATATATATATATATATATATATATATATATATATATATTTACTTCTTATGCGATATGTATAACTGGTACTTACGTGTTATAAAATATTACTTTCATTTTTAGGAAAAAAAAACGTTACTTTTATTATCGGACCATTTTTATCAGATTAAACATGTCACAATGATAAATTTTTGTCTGTTTACTTATTTAATAAAATGTTGTCCCTATTACTGAAATATTTTTATCTGGCTAAAACGTCATAAATTATGAAATTTTATCTGATTAGAATGTTACAACTAGCGCCACTTTATCTTATTCACTTAATTATTAAAATCTTACTTTGGTAACCGTTTATTTCAATAGTAAAATTATTTTATTTTTATTTAAATTTTTGAAGTGTCACATTCTACCCTCCTTAAAAGATATTTCGTCCCGAAACATTAACTAAAATCAAATAACCAAGTTTTTAAGTATTACATTCTACCCCCCTTAAAGAGAGGTTACGTCTTCGTAACTAAAATTTTACCTTAATCGAATAACTCTGGGTAGCGTCGTTGTTCTCAATGTTGTTACTCATGGATGTCATTATCTCATTGAAAAGTATAGCGTATAAGAAATCTATCGGTATTCATAAATATTCTATTCTATCCAATAACTTACTAATCACGTAATGTATAAAGTTCTTCTATAAGTCCAACTTTATCCACAAATAAACATATATGGATATGTCACACTTAAAAATATCTCAAGAAAATCAGAACAATCACAACCTCAATCCAAACCAAAATCAAAGTCTCACAACCTCACCACGCCCCTAAAATTTTATTTTAGTCCTTGAAGCTCTCTTACTTATCGCCTAGTATTTTTTTATTTTTTAACCTAATATTTTGGAAAAACATTTTTGAAAAATCCACCTTGAAAACCTTTAAGAATCCTACAAATTGTTAGAAACCTTTTTAGAAAATCAAAGCTAGGAAATTTAAGACCATAAGAAAATTTTAAAAAAAATTATTTAGAAAATCTTTTGGAAAAATGATTTGAAAACTCCCCCCAGAAAAACCTTAGGCTCTGATACCAACTTGTAACACCCCCAAATTTCTCACAAAAAAAAATATACTTTATTCAAAATAAATATCAACTTTATTTGAAAACATCAGAATTTTGCAGCGGAAATCAAAAAGGAAATAGGGGTGCTACCGCCACACTCGATTCTTTCTTAATCGAGTGCACAGGCTAAAACAACTTAAACTTCAAAATCAAAAGTTCACTGATTAAAGTTATTGAAAGAGAAATTTACAATGATTTACTAATAATGTTTTCTAGCGAAAGCTCTCTCTCGAAATCAACTTCAACATCGATCAACTCAACACCTGTACAAAAATCATGTACAGAAAGAAAAAATAAAAGAAACACACATTAGCAATAATGCTAAGTAAGTCTCACCTAACCTTTTAAAATAATAATAATAGTATATATATAAATTCGTACAACCATTAGTATAAAATATTTTCAAAACACTTTATAAATCATAAGTAAACGATATCTGTACAAAATCCAAATCACATAACTCGTGAACCATAATAATTCCAAAATACATGAAACACCAAAATTTCTCCTCTATTGAATTTCTCCAAAAATCACTTTGTAACTAACTTCCTAGTAATTTAGAAGGGCGGTGCTCAACACTTTGGTTGAGCCCGGTGGTCCGTTGTTAGGTACGGCCACCCCGGGACTATCGCCGGTACCACAACTGCTCCTTGGAAACGGAAACAACTACTTTAAGTGTGCACACCCCCTAAAGGTATTCCAAGCCCTCCGGGTTAGTAAGTCGATCCGGGTAGCCGGGATGTTTTCTACCAACTACCCCACCTCAAAACCTGAATGATTAGGAGCTACTACTACCATTACTACTCAAAAGCCGAGATGTTTTCTACCGACCGTCAATTCACCTCAAACCAAAACCACAAAAATTGAGTAGTAGTAGACCTAACCATCCTCCACATTTCAAGGGACGTGGAAAACCAACACCACAGATTTCTCCCGTGATGCTCACCTTTTATAAAAATATTTATTTTTCTCTAAATCAATCGAAGTTTATACTTCAAAAATTCCCTTTTTATCAAACTCCCACAAAGATAACAAATTACGTACTATTACAAAATATCCCAAAATCGTATACAATAATTTATCTCAACAAAACAGTACATCAACTAATATCTCAAATACAACCCTTTCATATAATAATATTCACTCAAATTCAGCACACATAAATTCAATTCTCAAATATGCACACAAAAATATGTAAAAGAAATCACGAAGAAAAAGAACTAATATCGGTTGACGTGAAACTTACCTTAAATCCAAATGCTCCTACTTCTCTTCTTCAATTCCAATCTCTAAATGAGCACCTTTTTAATTTAGATGATATAATTAGTCACTTATTCTATTTATAAATTATTTTATTCAATTTTTCCCCTTTTATTTCCTTATTTATTAACTTAATTTATTAGTTATTTGAATTTATTTGATTAATCACTTTTTATTAATCAAATTACCTTATTAATTCAGCCATTAATTACAATATTTGAATTCTAATATTAATTAAAGTATCCG